TTTGGGTGGAGGGGGACTTTAAGCAAACCCAGACTTTTGATGAAATGCGCCTTAATGTGCATTTAAAAACTGGCCTCTGAGGACCCTTAGGTGCTGGTGAAGCTCTATATTTTATTTACAGAATATATTACTAAAAATCTGATGACTTCCAAGTTTTTATATATTTTCCACATGAAAAGATCTGAGTATTTTCAATTTGATACTACATGGATCAATGAGTGCTTCTTAAACTCACAACAAACACTTAATCACCTCAGAGTAATTTGTTGGTGCACCATTTGAGATGCAGTTCATCTTATTCTCTTAATTTCTTTTTTATTTTACAGTAATTTTATCTCGTTTGCCTTTGTCTCACACAAGATGATTGTTGAATCATAATGAGAAGAAAATAGATAATTTAGTCTTTAATATATTCCATTTAAGCATCTTTACTAAGATTTAAACAACTTCCTCTTTGTATATATTATGATGAGTGCATTGTATTTATGCACATCATACCTCTGGACTATAGCACGGAAATTATTAAATAAAACCCCCAAAATACAGACAAAAAACAAAAACTCCATTATAAGGGCTAAGATGTGCCTGTTAAAAAGTAATTGTCTTTTACAGTGACGCCATACAGAAATACGTTTTGTATAGAAAATGCAGAGAAAAAATGAAATACTAAAAAATAATGTAATTATTATATAAAAATATACAAACCAATGCAGAGCAATTGACTCATTTGTTACTGAAATACAATAATAGTTAAGGATATATGACTATAATCAAGGATTTTCTTTCAATATGTACAATTACAGTTATTATAACAAATATATACGAACTGTTAAAGAAATTGCTCTACATCCACACATTCAGTGTTATTAAGTGGCTGCAGCGAGGTGCTTCCCCATTCAGCCTGTGTTCAGTTGTTATTGAAGTGGGGAAAGGGGTCACGTTACTAGTTTAGGGGGGAACTAGGCCATGCATTCAGACATTGTTGTGCATGAGGGACCTGCTTTGAAAAGTGTAGCCTGTGGTGAAATGTCACAGAGCAGCAGAAACCCCTCTGGTAGGAAGGAAAGGGGTCATTTCCATTTAAGACAAATATCTATACGCAGTCACTGAAGCAATGTTTATATACATACTGTAGACACATGCATGGGTGCACAGGTGTCTTCATTATATGTGTTAGTTAGATCTTTCATGTTTAAAAGAAAAACACAGTTACGCCCCAAAGTTGAATAGTTAATTCAAGCATTTATGATTTAAACATTACCAAAGGAAAACAAGAACGAAACGAGAACCCCAAATTCAATTCAGAATGATTAAAATGTATTAAAAGGTTTGTTCATTTTTGTCCATTTCTGGCGACTACCCAGTGATAGTATTAAAGGACTACAGTTTATATTATATGGGAATACATAAATAAATTAATAAATACGATACTGATTATGCATGTCAAACTAGTTTGTTTCTTTTTTATAAAAAGCATTGGGATCCATGGCCGCTGGCATAATGAAAA